AATGAGTAAGCAAGACAAATATCCAACCCAGGACAGCATACAAAATACACATACACATAAGGGAACCTTGGCCATTTCCACCTCAACTAGATGCTTTTGGGAGCCGTCCACAAGCTTCTGGTCGTATCTTTGACTACTGCTCTTGACAGATCAGTGCATCCATCCATCTATCCATCCATTCGTGAGGAGTCAGGACTTTGGGGAGACCAGTCTTCTGTACCGCTTCTGATGTGTGTTTGGGGTCATTGTCATGTTAGAACACCCAACTGCATCCAAGTCTGTCTCTCCTCCAAACATATTTCTGGTCATTGTGGCTAAATAGCTCAATTCTTGTTTCATCTGGCCAAAGAGCTTTCCTCCAGAAGGCACTTTCCTTGTTCCTCTTTCTGGAAAAAGGGTTTCTCTCAACTTACGTCATTGCAACCTCTCAGCTCATGGTGATGAAAGACGCACTGAAATTTCTCCAAGTGACTTTTCTAACTTGCTGAAGTCAGTGATTTATCAGATCTTTGCTGGGCTCATCAGTCTAATGGGTGTATCAAATGGGCCCAATTTAAATTTGGTTAACGGGAGTCAGCAGCTGTAGTCAATTGTAATCACTCACAAAGAGCTCAGAAAAAACTATTTCCTAGTATTTCCATTATGCTCCCAATTCCCACTTTGCACATGCACTATTTGTCCTTCACAAGATTTGCTACTTTTTTTTTTTTGTTGTTGCTTATTTATATTTGTTACGGGGGTCTGGGAACCCAGGGTAGACACAGATCAGACAGGCAGGTGGAGTAAACAAAGTGATTTATTAACATGGGATGAAACTGAAAACAGAGTGAGGAAGCTAAACTGATGGGAAAACAGAACGGGTTAACCAGACTGAATAAAAAAAAATTAACAAAAAAGGATGAAACTACAAAAACAAGGGAAAAATTCCAAACTAACATCCATCCATTATCTATACAATGCTTAATCCTCACTAGGGTCGCGGGGGGGCTGGAGCCTATCCCAGCTGACTCAGGGGACACCCTGGACAGGTCACCAGTCTATCGCAAGGCTACACTTAGAGACAGACAACCAAGCACACTCACATTCACACCTACAGACAATTTAGAATCACCACTTAACCTCAACATGTTTTTGACTTGTGGAAGGAAGCCGGAGAACCTGGAGAGAACCCACGCTGCACGGGGAGAACATGCAAACTCCACGCAGAAAGATCCCGGTGCCCCCACTGGGACGCGACTGGCGACCTTCTTGATGCGAGGCAACAGTGCTACCAACTGTGCCACCTTGCAGCCCTCCAAACTGACTGGAAAAGTAGGGAAGACTACTACTACTAATAAACTACGCTAGACCAACGAAACAGGGATACTCACAGGGCTGGGGACCAAACTAAAGGGGAGAGACAGGCTCGGGGAATCTGGGGTCTGGCGAGGGCCGGGGAAAAGCTGGTGGCAGGTACAGGTGGGTTGAAGCAGGATCAGGGCAGCCAGTGTGTCGAGGTGCAGGAGGGTTCAGGTGGCTGGTGTTCAGGGAAGGCAGGCAGGAGACAGCTTGGGGACCGGCAGGGAAACAAGGTTTCAAAGTCCATGGGCTGAGGCTGAGGATGGGTGGTCATGACAGTACTGTTATAAAGATGACAACGTGTCTGTATGTCTGGGGCAAAAATTCGTCTAGACTGCAGAGAAACATATGAGTGTACAGCTAAAAGGGCTGCGTCACAAACTTCAGCCTTTCTTAGTGGGTGAGTGGCCCAGAAAATGAGTCATTTTGTTCAGTTATTCATTTGTATTGGCTTGATCCATATCTCCAGCGGTGACGCTACACTTGGAGCACCACGAATAGAACTGCCACCTCGAGAACAAAAAACATTAATGATAAACCCATTCAGAGTCACAGTAAGTTGTTAGAGTGAACCAGCATGCAGAGTAAGATCTGAACTGATGCTGAATTACTGTTTTCACAGCTGTTAGTTACACCTGTGTTTTGACACATCACTTTAGAAAAAGCACAGGTGTAAAGAAGACAGCTGCAATGATGTGGCTGACTCAATGTCACATTACAGCTTACTTATAGTACTTGAAAAGATTTAAGCAAAATCTGTGCCTTTCCTACTATGAGAGGTTAAAAAAAATGAGAAAACAAAAGAGATTTATTTCACGGTCAGGACAGCATACCAAACAGGGAACCAGAAAATGAAAGCATTTGCAATACAGATAATAAATCGGTTAACCAGGTCTGTAAATGTAGCTGTACTGTCACATGTAGTGTGACTCTGTTTAATACAGTTCAATTAGAGAAACTGCCACAGAAGGGCGGACACAGCTGCAAGTAATAAAGTTAATGATGATCAGGTTTTAGTCAGCTAGCGGGCATCGGCAGTAACAGTGAATATTGCCATAGCTTGCTAATCAGCCCACCTCCAACAAACCTTCATTACCAGAGCTGCAGCTGTGAAAACGGTCCTCTGCAGAAAATTAAAATAGTGTCTCTGGTTTATTAATTTCATTTCTCATTTTTCTTACTGCAGCTTTCACTGACTTGTGTTTATGGAAACTGGAAATAGCTGAACCCAGTTATTGTTAAATTAGAAATTAATTACATTTTGCCTCAGTTATGGCCACCACTGTGGATACTGAGGTCAGGACTGCAATATTATTTATGAATATTAATACAAGGAGCACTGCGCATTTTTCACTATTACATTTTAACAGCTACACTGGTGCTTGAAAGTTTGTGAACCCTTTAGAGTTTTATATATTCCTGCATAAATAAGACCTAAAACATCCTCAGATGTTCACACGAGTCCTGAGAGTAGATAAAGAGAACACAGCAAACAAATGAGACAAAAAAATTACACTTGGTCATTTGTTTATTAAGAAAAATGATCCAATATTACACATATTAGTCACAAACGCATGCAAATATTTGCTTTCAGTCTCTGCCCTTCAGCGATGCCATTGTGCAGCAATAACTGAGCTTAAATATTTCCAGAAAGTGTTGATCAATCCCATTCGAGGGATTTTTTTCCCCGTTTTTTCTGCAAGCATGTGCTTTAAACATTAGACTTTGTTCGATTATTTTTCTTGAAATAAAACAATATGCACTTACGCCTTGTTGCCATCCCACCAATCAAAATACCTGACTCTAATTTCACTTTCAAATTATCTGCTAATCCTAGTGGCTTTTGATGGTAGATTTGGTATTCTTGGGGTTCAAAGCCTCGCCTTCTCTCCTCCAAACATATTTCTGGCCATTAGCTCAATTCTTGTTTCATGTGACCACATAACTTTCCTCCAGAAGGGCTTAGGGTTAACACGCTGGACAGGCAGCTTTTAATTCACTGCAGACCTGCTTTTTGTTGATTCTTGGTTGACTCTTGACCATCCGGATTAATTGTCTCTCAGCAGCAGGTGATATCTTGTGTTTTCTTCTAGATGAAGGCAGTGACACGACTGTACCATGCACTGTATACTGAAAACTATTGTTTGCACAGATGGTTTTGGGATCTGCAGCTGCTTTGAATTAGCCCAAAGTGATTTTTCTGACTTGTTGAAGTCAATGATTTGTTTTTTTTCAGACCTTTGCTAAGCTCCTCAGACTTCCCATTGCAATGTTTGTGGATGGGCCTAATGAGTATATTAGATGGGCCCTAATTAAACTGGCTGAAAGGAATCAATCATAATCACTAACAAGAGGCCATGCAACTAAAGAAAAAAAAAGATTCACCCAGCTTTCTACATCACCAAAACTGTATGTGTATTTTTGACCCTGCAGATTTGATCATATTTCCAGAAGATATTTAATAAATTTAAGAAAGAACCAAAATGCATGACTGTTTTTTGTGACCAAGGTACATGTGCTTGAGTGAGACGATTTGTATTCATAGGAGTAATTGGAAACTCAGGACTGCCACCTGGAAACTAGGGGTGTAACTGTTACTTTTTGGCATAACAGTAAACTACAAAGCCTTTTAGTCCACAAATGCCCAAATGGTTGAAGTAATCAAAGAGAAAGGACAGGAAAGCTTTGGGGTGGTGTGCTGTTGCTTCCGGACAATACGCCCATCCAGCAGTAGAGTGAAGGTCAAAGCAGCCAAGTGTGGCTTTGAACTGTTGCTTCATGAACCTTACTCACCCAACTTGCACAATCTGACGTCTATCGGTTTACCAAACTGAAATCCTACATTGTCATTTTAAGCGTGCCACATGATGCTAAGCAGAATCTGCAGGCTCTCTTATTGGTGGTTCGAAAGCATTCAAGTAAAAGAAAGTTAAAGGAGACCATGTTGAAAAATTATGCAAGAACAATCTTTCTCCTGTGATGTTTTCTGATGAGGCAGAGATCTTTCTTTATACAGTAAATGTATACAGATGCAAACAAAAGTGTACATACACTTGTAAAGACCATGTATATCACTTGAGTTTTCACTAACTCCTACAACTCTTACAATTCTATGATGGAATCTTTGAAATTGGCACAGAGAAGTCAGCTGCTGTAGCCAATCATAATCACTTAGAAGAAGTTAAGAGGCCATGCCACTAAAAAATGGCTAACACTGCTTTCTAGATCACCACAACTGATAATTTGCTGTGTGTATATTATCAGACATTGTTATTTTTAGAGAAGAGCTATAATAATATGTATATGTAATAATATATATTTGCATGTATATATTTGCCACATGCCCACACAGTGAAATGTAAAGTGATTGTTGCATGAGTCTGTGCAACACAACAAAATGGAAGTAAAAGAAAAAATAGCAATAAAAATGCGGGGTGAAGAGATTTATTCTAAATTTTAAAAGAAAATAGACATCATTGTTCATCTCACCTTGGCTTACCTTGTACAAAGAGCACTGTCTGTTGTGTGTTTTATTACTGTACCGTTTACGCTTCCTCTGAAGACCGGAGCCCTGCCGTGATTGGAGGGGGACTGCTACTCTTCCTCCTCTGATTGGTCCGCAGCGGCGCCCTCGTTCTGACGCCTCCAGCCAATCACAGCGTCGTAAAGTTCTGCTGCGGAAGAGGGATGCGGAGGAGATGGCAGAACTTAGATAGCCCTGTGTTTGGGAATATTTTCACCATGAACGTTTTCCGGGGGAAACCCGGGAACAGAGGCCGGCTGCTGGTTGTTGCGGTCGTGTTTCTGTGCTGTGTCGGCTCTGTGCGCAGTTTCGGGCAGAACCAAGACAGCGAGTTCACGTTCCTGCTGCCTGCTGGGAGATCCGAGTGTTTCTTCCAATCAGCAATAAAGAATGGCACGATGGAGGTCGAATATCAGGTAACTGTGTGAGCTCAGACGACACAATCACTCAGTGTCTTCACAACTGATTTCATATTATCTCTTAAATGGGGTTTATGAACCGTTCTACTCATATTTCCGAACCGTTGTTTCCTGTAGCTAACGTTAGCTGACATGCTGGTAGTGTGTGCATACCTTGACATGCCAGCATTACACTGTATCTGGTAGCAAATGACAGCTCATATCTCTCAATTAACTAAATATTTAGCAGGTTAATATGACAAACGATGCAAGTGTTTTGTAGTTATGTAACCTAGCTTTCATTTTCATTTAAAAAAAAAAAAAAAAAAAGCTGTGTATAAAAATCATCAAATCTAATTTTATGTATGTACCTGCAATAGTGCAAGACTGTAATAATACCTTATTACCAAAAGAATCATTTATCCATTTTCTTCCATTTATTTGGAGTTGGATTGTAGTGGAAGCAGGGCATTCCAGATCTCCCTCTCTCCAGCAATGTCCTCCAGCTCCTCCTGGGGGTCCAAATGTGTTCCCAGGCCAGATGAAATATCTAATCCCTGAGTTCTAGGTCTATCCTGTGGTCTCCTCCCAGTTCCTGGAAAACCTGCATATGCAGATGCCCCAGAGGCATCTTAATATCACCTCAGCATACTCCTTTCGACATGAAGGAAAAGCGACTCTACTCCAAGTTCCCTCCGAGCTCCTGGCCCTTATTTTTAAGGCTGAGCCCAGCCACCCTACAGAGGAAACTTATTCGGCAGCTTGTATCTGTGAGCTCATCCTTTTCGGTCACTACCAAGCGCTCACAACCATAGATAAGGTTTAGATCGACTGCTAAATCGCGAGCTTTGCCTTCCGGTTCAGCTTCTTTTTCCATCAGGTCAGTCTGGTAGTCCAACTGACTCTCAATTTTCTCCTCACTTCTGAACAAGATCCCGAAATACATAAACTCTCAGACCGAGCAATCAACTGGTTTCCAGCAGAGAACCATGGCCTCAGACTTGGTGGTGCTGCCTCTCACCCCGGCCGCCTCACAGTTGGCAGCTAACTGCCCTTGTACACTGGCCGATGAAGCCAACAGAAACATGTAATTTGCAAAATGAAAAATTGAAAAAGGTTATCAAACTGAACACCTTCCTCACTCCAGCTGCGTCTTAAGAGCTCATCCACAATTATCACAAACAGGATTGGTGACAAGTGGCAACACGAGTAGAGCCCAACCAGAAACGCATTAGTGTGCCTCGGTACCCCATCTTTCCCTAAAGAAATGAGCACAAATGCTTTACTTAGCAAAATGACTGCGCAGTAAAGAAGAAAACACACCACACACTGCTTCATTGTAAGTCTGAACGACCCACTAAGTAAACAATAGGTTGTATGATGGTTTCAGATCCTGGTGCTCCTGCTTCTGGTTTTCCAGGCCTTAAGTGATGTTCTGGTCTTGCCCCAACCACAGAAAAAATTCAAGTATTAGTTACAAATAACAAATGTTGATATTAAATTACCCTTCTGTGGCCTAATTGCAAGATTCCAGTTGAACTTTCAGCAGGAAGGTATAATTTAAAATGGGAGAACTTTTACATACATGATTTTTATACACAGAGATGTGTTTAGGGGTTTAATCTATGACTGGAGAAGGACTTGACATGTAAGTTTAACAAATTATACAGAGGAACACGTGGGCAGTGTCAAGTCCTGCTTGTTAGCAGTTTGTTTGTTTAGTGGGAGGGTCCGAATCTAAGAGACTCTTGTGCTCTCGCTTTTAAAGGCACGTATAATCTTTCTTGAAAATGTTTGCCTCAGTGTATCCTGGTGACCAAGTTGTTTAGATTCATACTATGTACTGCAATGTCGCTGGTACTATTTTAGTATCAACTTGTTGCTAACTGTGTATGTGACTTTATTTTGGTGCCTCCAGGTGATAGCAGGCGCTGGCATGGATGTCGACTTCACCATCGTCTCCCCTAAAGGCGTCCAGCTCAGCTATGAGTCTCGACGCTCGGATGGAGTCCACGTGTAAGTGGCCCCCAAATCCTTAATCATCGTTTATTGTCGTGTTTCGCCCTGTTTGTTTATCTGTGATCTTTTTTACTTTCTGTTATTGCAGGGTGGAGCCCACCGAGGAGGGGGACTATGAAATCTGCTTTGACAACAGCTTCAGTCGCTTCTCTGAGAAGATGGTGTTCTTTGAGATCATCATCGAAGGACAAGGAGGAGATGTGGGAGGAGATGAGGAGTGGGCAGGTTTAGAGGAGCCTGACGGCAGCCTGCTTGAATACAAGCTGGAAGACATCCGGGTGAGATGCACATTTTGGGTTTGTTATCCCTTAAAGGTCCCGTTTGTGCCCCTTTTCAACAAGTTAGCGAAAGTCTCACATGTCCCCCTGAATGTGCCTTTCATTTTATTAGCTCAATATTCTGTCAGGATGGTTCATTTCAACTTGACTGTATAACTTCTAGTTTTAGTCTTATCCTAGACAGCCTTTTTTGTGTCTGTTGCTTTAAATGCAGCTAAATTACTACTGTCCACACCCTTCAGGAAGAAGACGCTCTTAGAAAACAGTAGAAGCAGTTATAAAATCAGTAGTTTAACAGCTCTGAAGTGACTCCTGTTACCGTGCAGTCCTGTGGGCCGCGCCTTAGTCACTACGTCATAGTTCTTCCATTGTCTAACAACGTAAACAGAAAAATATGTAAATGAGAGCAGCTTTATTGGGAAGTTGACCCGATTAAAGTCTATGTGAGAGCAGAGAACAGGAGAGAAGGAAACCGTTATAAACATTGCTGATTTTAGGTTGACTGACGCACAACAAGTGACACTGAAACACAGTGAGTCACCCAACCCATATTTATACAGAGCTCTGACATGTGGACTTACTGTACAGTCAAAGCTAATGGTATCATGAGCCACAATGTGCTAACACCAAGCATTTTCCCTGTTGTTGTCGTAACATTACCATCAAAAATGAAAGTAATCCACTCGATCTTCCGCTTCTCAGATTGTAGGAGTGCATGAAAACTTTTGTGTTCACTCTTGCAGCCAACAGCCGAACATTTGGTGTAATAGATGAGAATTTTAGACTCAGCAGAAGCAGCTTCGAAGGAAGAGCCATCTGCTCTTACGGATTGTCTCAACTTACAAGCAGCAGGCAGTGAAGTTTGAGCTTTCGGTTCCTCAGCTGGAACGTAGCAGCTGAGTAAACGTCTTACTGGCTTGTAAAGCTGGCAGTCTAGTGAACATCTTCATATCTTAGCAGGTTCTCATTTACACCTCCAAGTTCATATCTTCAACCACAGAACACAAAAGAAATGAATTTTCACTAAACGGGACCTTTAAAGCTAGAGCCTGAAGAGTAAATAGAATTTTGAAAGCAAACAAATCAAAAAAACAATCCCACCCGCTCCTTTAGGCCTCCCTCTAGAGCCACTCCTTCAAAACAAATGAACATGCACTCTGTCAGTGCTGTTGGAGGACGGACATCTTTGGTAGAGAGAGGAGCGCTGTGTGTTAAAACTAACTCGTTTCTAAAAACAAACAAGTAGGCTACATGATCCAGTGTAGACTAATATATAAGATGAGTACGACATTTGCTTACAACCAGGCTTACAGACAGGAGGTAAACTTATACACAGATACATCAAAACATACCCTAAAAAAAAATAAATAAATAAAAAAAATTGAGGCTATAATGAGCAGTGACAGACGCAGAAATACAATTTGATATGATCATCCTGCATGTCTAGGAGTGCAAGATTTTGTACATTTAGGTGGAACTATAAAATGGGGCTTAATGAAAGACTCATAATAAATGCACAGGCAGATTACCGGCAAGTAGGCGATCCAGTCATCTCATGCTCACCAGATGATTGGATAAGCGTTTTGCAGGCATGTGACTGCCACAAGTTTCTGTTTTTGTTTTTTGTTTTTTTCAATATCATGACACTCGGTTTAATGATCGCTCATAGGTTGCTGAGAGACTTCCCACAAATCATTGCATACTCTAGCTTTCATGAAGCCCTGTTGTCGTCATTGACAAGCGCAAACAATGTCTAAACAACCTCTGGTGTAGGCGTGAACATAGGCACCTGTGGTCAAATAATAACCAGAGTGTATTAGTTCACATCTGAAAATATTTCCCAACAAGTTAACAAGTAATTCCTGTATGAATATTATTTTTAAACAGGGAAACTTGATGCGTGACCTTATTTTCATTGTCTTTCGTCGGAACGGAATAAGCTTAGGGTTGTGAGCCACAGACGCGCTGGGGAAGTGGGAAAGTTTTGAAAGACAGACTAACGCACTGTTGGTTTAGTTCTCTTCATGGGATTTTGCTGACAATGTGGAAAATCTAAAATCACGTCAATCATAACCTTTAACTAGTATTTGTCTACTGGAAGTCTGTTAACGACCGGCACCCGATGGAAACATGAGTATCTCCGTAGATCAGATTAACTAAACCAAACCAAACCACAGTTATGGTTGCATGACCCAGTATCAGCGGGCTGAATTTTCTCAGAAAACCAAAAACTGCACAGAAAATACGCATCTTCTAAACTGTGCCGAGACGGTTCGAGATGTAGGTTTGGAAACGTTTAGCGATTTACAGACGTTATGACTTCAACTCTGACAATATGTGAAATCTCTCAAAGCATAGACACAGTCTCGTTTTTTCCGTCTCTTTGTCTGACTTATGCCTCCAAGTCTTTGCTCCTTGTCTCGGTCCATGTTTTCACACCCATGTTTCAAACCCCTCAGGAGTCCATGGACTCTCTGCACAGGCGTTTGGAGCGCAGCCGGCAGATGCAAACGGTGTTGCGAGCTTTTGAGGCACGAGACCGAAACCTTCTGGAAGACAACCTCTGGAGAGTTTCCTTCTGGTCGTGCGCCAGTGTGCTGGTGATGCTGTGTGTGGCCCTTACACAGGTACATGGATTCCTCACAAGTCATTTGAAAGAATTTACTCCATATTTTTAATCAGTCACAGCGTTTAAAACGTAGTAACTGATACCTTGCTGTCTTTGTTCACAGGTCTACACTGTCCGCAGACTGTTTGACGATAAGCGGAGGGTCTGCACATAGAGGCATTATTTTACATTCATACAAGGCAGGCTGGGAAGCAGAACAGTCCAGCACACGACGTTTTGCTGGTTACCCGCTCAAATTGTGCTCCGTTATTGTTCGTTTATTCTACATGAACACCAGCAGTCAACATAAATTCAAAAGGATCTTTATTCAGTTTCTCAAAAAACCTTGGACCATATCAGTTTGTTCGCAATATTCAAACAATATCAGATCATAAAGGGTAACCAGATGTGTAAGAGACTAGAGAAAGTTGGTTATATCATTTCATGCAGTGCCTTTAATGTCAAATCTCACCACAGACCAATGAGGAAATACAGATTTTCGTAAAACTGCTGACCTACACTTCTGAAACTGGTTTAAAGGGTTGGGAAATTTTTCCGCTAAAGGTAACGTTGCCATCCGTAAAGATGAAGGGTCGGCTAAATGGCACTCCCGTTCTGCTGGTTTACAGGGGATATCTACGTGCAATAGTGGTGTTGGAATATTTGTTCTTGTAGATCCTGCCATTATATTGGTGATTTAAAGTGTGATCACTCCAAGTGTTTCCTTGGTTACAGCCGTTTAGACTTTTTTTTTTTTTTTAAAGAGGTTACTGAGTTGCTTTTTTTTTTTTTCCAGCACAAGTCAATGCTGACATGTTGACAATGCAGAATAAGAAAGAGGGATGATTTCCAGCGTAGTTGCCAATAATGTGCACGTGACAGTTCATTTCCAGATAAATGTGCAGTTTGTGCGTGAATGTCAGTTCAGGTATGCATCAGGATAACTCAGTGTGTGAATTTTGTGCGTCTCTGGCGTCGGTCTTTTCTTTTAAACGATCAAACATGCCTTTTTTTCTGATGTATGTACATGTGTCAACAGAGTTTGATTTTACTCAAACATTTTTTTTTTTTTTACTAGGAAAAGGCGTTTGTTGCATATTCTGTAAGATGATTAAAAATCAGGTTTTCATGGGAGGCATTGATCATAATAAATGCATTTTTACACAGGAGGTACTTTGATGTGAGTTGTCTTTGCAGATTAAAAGCTACTAAAGTTTACCTTCTAAAGAAATGTGATTAATCCCAGTAAAGTTTTATCAATAAAACAAAATTCGACCACAAAGTCTTGTCTGAAACGCAGTTTTCTGCTTTCTGCTTTATGTGCGTTGGGAATAAAAGGGTTTTCTTCTTGTGCATGAAGTGCAGTTAACAGGAAAGTTTCAGGAAATCAGTATTTTCTATATAATTTCGATACATTTATATGATGTAAGCACTTTCCCTGCACCACAGAAACCAACCAGGAGACTCTTGTACAACACACAGTATCTTTGCAGTTGTACGAGCTCCCTCTAATGTCTGACCTTACAAACGTTTACAGAACAGCTTCGACAGTAAGTTAACTGTGGCATAAGAACCTGAAACGCTCCAAATAAAAACATTAAATTCTTTAGGAAAAGGCATGACTTAACTGCACTTATTTGTCTGTAGTATTACCTGAATGACACTGAATTAGTTCGAACTAAACAACAGCTCAGCACATCTTTGAGGATTTTTTGTATCACGCAGTGTAAAGAGAAGAGCTCATCAGTTAAGATTTAAATATGTAGTTGATGTTAGTGTCTTAAGTAATAAAAAAAGAAGTAACTGGTGTAAAACTGGAGGATTAAACAATATGCTGTAATGTCTGCTCAGTAGATGACATCTATGTTTTCTGAAAGATGTAGTTTCCTAATAATTTGGCATAAAAAGATTTTTCAGTTTTAAATTAAAGTATTTCAGCACTATTTTTAGAAAAACGAAGATCTGTGTAGAGCACATAACAAAAACTAGAAATACTAAACCAGTTTAGTAACATAAGTGCATGTAAAGAAGTATTTTTTATTTCATTTATTTGCAACATACAGAGAATGCCAGCTTTGGTCCAAATAGTGCCGTTATGTTTGCCCTGAAATCTGCATTAGCAGCTTCAGAAATGCACAAATGATAGAGACAATAGATACACCTGAACTTCTATTGTAAAGTTCATCGAGCAGACTCGGCTCCTCCTGCTGCTGATGGCTGAGCTGCTGTGCGTCTACAGAATCCAAATCTGAAACGCGAGTTTCCCTCACCAGTGGCTCGGACGAGAAGGGACTTGTGGCGGTCGCCTGTGTGAGAGGACCATGAGAAGATGTTAAGATTTACAGTTAGTCTGTGATTCTAAGTGCATCAGGGGAAAACACAGCTGACACTAAACAATAGAAAACATCCCTAGAAAACAGATTAGGATTGCGTGCCTTCACTCATTCCTGCTCGGCTCCTGTGTGGAGCCTAAAAGCAACTAGTAACACTATCTACTGTGTGTTGCCACTAGCAACTGTGGTTTCCATGGCGACCCGCAGCTCCATCATACAGCAAGAAAGGAAGGTCTTGCCAGGCTGCACACACCAAAGTGAAACATTTCTCCTCAGCTGTCTCCATTTTACTATCATGCAAAACAAAAGGTCTTGACCTGAGCGCTCTCTCGTGTGTCTGTTTGCACACGGAGAGCAAAGAAAAGAAATAAAGCAAAGACTGCCGAGCAGCAAGAAGACGCACCAGCCACCACACCTTCTTTTTTATTTATTTTTTTCCCCCCATTCATTTATTCAGTCCATCACTTCACGAAAGCAAAGGCCCTCTTTCTTAACATGCTTTTTTTCCATTATGGCTTTGATTTCTGTAGTAATCACAAAGGAATTATTCGCTGGAGGCACTTTTATTCACCGAGGATGAGCAGTTTGTGGGAGGTAACTGTCAGAGGATGTTTAACCGGGAAAGGTAATTCTTACCTCTACTGCTGTATAATTATCAGCATTACACCAGAAGACATCCCACTGCTGCAGCGTTCCCCCCCCCCCCAAAAAAAAACCTTCCTCCTCCTCTGTCTCATGTTTGCTTGGTCCACAAAAGAGAAATACTAAACTAAACTAGAGTACACTTGATAAAAACATTAGTAATTAGAATACGGAAGCGTACAAATTCCATTGGTCAGTCTAATTTTAATAAGCCTACCTGAAGCTGTGACAAATTAAGAGAAAAATGACTTTATCAAAAAGTGCTGCTGACTCATTGAGGTGCTTAGTGTGTAAAATTACTGACAAAACATTAGCAAGTTTACAACTCGGAAAAATGACTCCTAAAAGTTTTTTCTTTGCCGTCATATAAAACGAATCATATACTATCGTAAGACACTTCATACGAAACAGGCAGAATTCAAGAGGACTCGCCGGTTCATAACCTTTAAGTCACGAAAATTATCAAATGTATCCCTTTTTTTTAAAAAAAAAATCATAATACTGCAAGCAGAAAATGTCATTGTGTACTTGTTAACAAAAAAAAAAAGCTATCTACACATAAAGTCACAATTACATACAAAATGCTTCTGAAATGCACAGACTGAAACAGCATCAGATCACCAATTACAGTAGTCTGTAGTTACAGGAAATGAATTTTAGTGACTATTTCTGCTTGAAAGAAATGCAAGAAGTGTAAACAAAGTCTGTATGACTAGATTACAAAAAAACAAAACAAAACAAGGTGTTTCTAGTCAAGCAGGGAGGGCTCTGACGGACGTATGACAGTGGGTCGGTTGGGAGCAGCCGGGGGTCTTCTGCTGCAAGAAGAGAGGGGAGGAGAGGTGTAGGGAGATGGGGGAGAGGGAGAGAAAAAAAAAACATGCAAGGAAAAAATATCATGAGATAGTCATGCACCAACGAATCCCAAACCACCAAAAAGCCAGAACATACAGTTTTACAACCCTGCACCGGGAGTCTCCACCCACCAGCAAACTTCCACCAAAGCCACAAAAAAAACCATCAAATTGTGTGTGTTTCTGTTTATCCACGATTTTACCTGGGAATCCCCGGAGGCAGCGCTGGAGGCACACGGGCCGGCCTGGACGGGATGAGAGGCACGGCGGCGGAGTTGGGGTCGCCTGGGTACGCCGAGGGAGGTCCGGGTCGGGACGGCACGGGCGGTGCTCCGAACGCCGGCGAGGGGTTGAGAGGAGGCGGAGGACCCGGCGTGGGACCTCTCACTGCTGGGGGTCGGCTGGGAGGGGGAGCCGTTGATGAGGCGGGACGGGACGCCGGGGGAGGACTGAGACAAGGAGGGGCAAAAAGTCCCTTTTAATGACATTATCCTTATATGAGCCAGTTAAGCATGTTGAACCTCATATCTTCTGCTACAGTTGCGATACGTCCATACAACATATTATTCCATTCATTTACATCCTATGATCTTATCTTGTTTATGTTGTTGGTTGCCACTGTTATCACAATCTCTATAACACATGTTGAGTTATCTCATGTTTTGTGTAATTCAATGTCTTGTGAAGCACTCCAGTTTTGAAAAGATGCTGTAGAAACACAGCTTGAAAAAGAACAGCAGCCATTAGAGGACCTCTGCTGGACAGTATGAGTAATAAAACCAGTTGAGCTTTACAGCAGGCAGAATTTGAGATTTTAGATAAAAGATTTTCATCCATAGCCGCCTTTCTATACATGCCTCCTGTGCAACAACCTGTTTTGTTTATACTCAGTTCACTGGGGTTTATTTCTTTATGCATTTCGATGTTTTTGTATTTCTATTTTGTGTTTTATTTTATTTTATTTATTTTTTCCCACCTCGGGTCTTTGGCAATCCAGTTATCGTCCACTGGCGGAGGCACCGGAACAGACACGGTGGTGGTGCTGATGTCTCCGATGATGACCAGGGCCTCTTTCAGAGCGTGATACATCCTCAGCATCTCATCTCTCCTCTGAGCCTGCTCCGCCGACTCCTCCATCAGACTGCCCTGATCCCCGGCCGAGTACAGGTAGGCCAGCAGCTCCGAGTGGATGAAGTCCTTCGCCTGGAAATGTGAGAGGATAGAGAGCGGGTGATGCAGTTAGGAAAAAACAGAAAACCAAAAAACATAACCCAATGAACTCCAAGCATTTCTGGACATTGTTTGCTCCTGTCTTTTAAAAAAAAATCTGTGTAGGCTCATTTTTCACTGCATATAAAGTCCTGCACCTCTATAGAAACAGCCCAACCATGGCTAGGAGAAGATGTCTTTTGTGCAGGATGACACAGTTGTAATGCTATAAATCATAAAAAAAGAGAAAAAAGTTGAATTTCTTTTAATTCATTCTACAAAAATTGAAAAAAAAAAAGTACATGTGCAACATTTCTCAAAGTTCTACATGTTTTACCAAAACTGGAAAAAATAAATGGTGACTCTTCGTGCTAAAGAGATTTTTTTCCATATGTGCCTCCCATCTGTTCTGCGTAAACCCAGCTGACAGTTCAGCCTAATTCTGACTAAATTTCCCTCGCTTTTTGTCACCTGACTGCTTTTCACAACTGAGTCACTAGTGGCTTCCCTGGTTGTGCTGACATGGGTAGATTTTTTTTTAGTTTTTACAGGAATCTAGTTGGAAAAAACAGCTTGCTTTCGGCAAATATTCGCAGAATAAAGTGGTTTCGATTATTCTCGTAGATTAATCGTAGCAACTGGACTTGCTTGAGTTCCTTGAAGATGTTCCACCTCTCATCCAAGAGGCTTCTGACTGACTAGTTGGGAGTTCCAGATACTTCTATCTTTAAGGAGCCATTAACATCTGAGTTTCGGGTTTCAATTGGGGGTTTGTTGCTATAAGTTTGTTGCTATAAGTATCTGAAACTCCCAACCAGTCAGTAAGAACTGATGAAGCCTCTTGGATGAGAGGTGGAACATCTTCAAGGAACTCAAGCAAGTCCAGTTGCTACCATTAATCTACGAGAATAACCACGACCTGGATGACTGAGAATCTTCACAGACAAGTGGTTTCGATGAAATATCAACAACCTTATATTTGGTGAATTTTCCTAATGGCACTGTACATCTCACGCGACAGCTTCGTGAAACAAGAAATATTTCTATTTCAACCTGATCTGACTTCGATAAATGGGGTCACTTTGGTGATTTTTAAAAAAAATATATATAAGATGCCTTTAAAAACTGCTGACATGTTTTGGAGTTCAGAGGGTTATTGCATAGATTTGTTCACCTTGAACTGCTGAAACTAATATTCAATATTCTATATTGGACAAGACTATACTTCTGCAGTTGTCTGTAAAAATAGCATATAAATTTCAATATATCTAAAAAACATAATCATTCAGAGGCACATGTACTAGAACTACACATCAGAAATTATTTCCACACTTTTCTATCGAACCCTATTTTCACCGAATACAAACAACATAACAAAACATTAACACTATTCTAGACCTGACAACATTCGCCACAACACATGCTGCTGCAGCCCGACGACACATTATCCCCGCTGCGGCTGCAAAAACACTGATAAGAGCAGCGGGAATGAACGAAAACAGCTAAATTGCAGGTCATAAAAATCAGCGACCAAAGCGGGAAACGCACGCTGTTGATCATGAGGTGCATGATGGTCTTAGGCATGAGGTCTCTGATGGACTTGTTGACGATGCCGATGTAGGAGTCCACGAGGTTTCGGATGGTTTCCACCTGTCGCTCCAGCTGCGGGTCCATGGACACGGTGTCGCTAGAGTTTATCGTGTCTTCGTTCTCAGGCTGGAGGACAAACAGGAGAGACAGAGTTAGTTTGTGTCTCTCTAACTCTAACCTGTTTTCTGTCAAAGTTCAAACAGTTTGGGGGCATTTCACACATCTGAATCTGTTGAATCTGGAATCTTAGTTTTGTGGTTTTTTTTTTTCTGTTTGTGCTGCCCACTGATAATGAAGTGGGTGGAAATCTGCTGGAAAAATTGTGATGCCTCATGCTTTGAAACGCTAATCAGGACGATGCAGTATTTAAAGCTCCCACTGACAGTTGGTGGGCTGTCCAGTCACTTGTCGCTCAAATCTGAATAAACTGAAAATTAGCTGAGCTTCTGAGCATGTTTATCTAAAAATGAAATAAATAATAACTAAAGAAACTTTGATTGGCTCTTCTACAGAGAAACACTGTGGAGCTCTAACTACACTTATGACTCGCAGGTTTCTGTTGCGCAGCTCTAAAGTCTCGTCCACACGAATGCAAACGCATGTCAAGGTGCATTCCTACATTTGTCCTTTATCTACACTAAATCAGTAATTCTGACCATGAACAACAGATCGTTTTAGGTGCATTCTCGAAAATAAATACATTTAGAAACGACAGTCCTGGATGTTAAATTTGTAGTAGAGCGCCTGGAAATACAAGGACGGTAAACAGTGTCCTGGATATTCGATCAGCAGGGCAGCAAATTGAATGAGCACGTCGGACAATGTTACTAAAAAAAGAGCCTTTGTCCTGTGCAAACCTATCTCTGGAAACATTTTAATGGAATATGTAAAATCTTTTGACATGCAAAATGCATTGTGTTCGATACGCAAACTCAGGTGAACACCGTGTGTCACAGAACGCCGTTTAAAGAATGTAGATTCTGCTGGAATCCTGCAGTAATTTCAGTGTGAATACCTGGTCTTTCTCTGGGTAAACACCAGCCCTGAGGAAGGAGGCCTTCCAGCTGTCAACATCCTCCTGAGTGTCGCATGCCAGTTCGATCTGACGCAGGTCTTTGTACACGTTCCTGTAAGGCACACATGCACCGTTGACGTAAGAACAAACCAAAAAAGAAAAAACACAATAAAAGCGCCAGTTTTAGAAGCATCCAGACCTCTGTTCAGTATTGAAGATGGCAAAGACGTGTTTGCTGGACATGAAGCCCTTTTCCACGTCTCTCAGCTTCAGGTTGTCAAGAGGCAGCATGTACTTCTTTTCTTTCTCCTGAAATAGCAGAAAAAACATGGAAATAAAAGAAAGTAAACCGCCAGCTTACTTTAAGAGCAGCTTGAAGTGGTTTCTTTAAAAGGCATAACAAGTAAGATTTTGCTATCCAACTTTCTTCCCATAGAGAAAAAATGTGTTACCGACACATTTTATTTATTTTTTTTTGCATTTCCTGTCCGGTACGTAGCCTTACCTCCTCATCTTTGTACCAGGAGAGAGACTCGGCTGTCAGGACAAACCAGTAGTCCTTGGACCCTCCCTTCATGATGCTGATGTTGATGGTGAGCCAGCCTCTGCGGATGACCTGCACACGAGAGTCCAACAGTTGACTACGCCACACACCCCGCAAGAGGGGGGCAATATGCAGCAAGCAAACAGAAAACTACAAACATCTTCAAAGAAATGGCACGGCGACGTTAAAAAACAGCACAACAGCCATGCAGATGCACCAGTAAGAGAGCAACCTCTGCAGCTTTATATATATATATAAAAATACACCACAAATGTAGAGAATAAAATGCAAGCCACAACAGGTTTCAGTATAAAATCACCTTCTCTGCATCCCTCTCTCTGCCAGACTGATGGACAAAAAGACAAAAGGACACAGAGGGATAACGAGCACACAAATGCAATTCTCTAATGTGGAAGGCGTAACCACAAATGTACTGCAGAGTTGGAGAGTGAGACTTGCAGGCAATTAGTCACAGCAGAGAGCTGTGGAGCTGCACGAGGCTTGAAAAGATGTTTCTCTTTATAGACCACCAGAGGAGGAATTTATTACTTTCTATGCTCAGTGTATTTTTAAGTCAGTATAAGTCACGACTGTGGATGGGTGTCATTGTTAGATATAGTGTTCACGCTGCAGTATATATAGATGATTTTGAGAAGAGCCTGTAGATTGACTGAAAACAGTCAACGAAAGGCTTCACTTCCCAGATCAAAACTGCTACAGTGAAACTAAGAATTTCCAGAGCTTGGTCAGACGAAGCATTTTAAATTATCACAGTTTGGGTGTCAGTGATAAAGCCTTACGTTCGGAATGACCTCAGAAGCTGTCAAAAGGGAAATCTGTCTCCCAGTTAACCCTCTGAACCCCAAATCTGCCAGCGGGTTTAAAAGATTATTTATCTTTTAAAAATCTACACGATATTATCAGGCCCAGAAACTATGAAAACAGCAAGAATCAGTCCTTGAACTGCTCATCTGTCGCGTCGTTTTGTCGTAAAAATCCCAATCTAAGCTTAAAATTGTAATTTGTCATCAAAATCAGTTTACTCGTCATGCCTAATTTGCCTAATGCCTAATGCGAAAAATAAACAGTTTGCAGGAACTAGATTCTGTAAGAAAAGGAAAACATCTGCACTCCTCGGTGCAACTGTGAAGCCATTGGTGACTCAGCGGTGAAAAACAGTCACATGGCAAAAATTCAGGGACTTCAAGGATGAACTGCAGGCAGTGTTTACACATAGCAGATAGAAGACAGGTAAGTAAACAAGTTAAAAATGTAAGAGTATTGTAAATTATCTACACAATATATAGTCATGGGCTGCAAGGTGGCTCAGTGGTTAGCACCGTTGTCTCGCAGCAAGAAGGTCGCTGCTTCGCGTCCCGGTGAGGACACCTGGGATCTTTTTGCATGGAGTTTACATGTTCTCTCTGTGCAGCGTGGGTTCTCTCCGGGTTCTTCGGCTTCCTCCCACATAGTCAAAAAACATGTTGAGGCTATTTGGTGATTCTAAATTGTCTGTAAGTGTGGATGTGAGTGTGCTTGGTTGTCTGTCTCTAAGTGTGGCCCTGTGATAGACTGGTGACCTGTCCAGGTCTAAGTCAGCTGGGATAGGCTCCAGCCCCCCTGTGACCCTAGTGAGGATTAAGCGGTGTATAGATAATGGATGGATGGTTATATAGTCACCATTTTCCAGGAATGGTAACAACTGTGGGCACTTGAAAAATACTGTTCACTCTTTATTCCGTATTTTTTTCCCCCATTTTTATACAATCAAAGTTTGTTTTTCCTATTTTATAATTTATGACATTTCATGTTGGTTATACTGCACATAAGTCATTTTAAATTCTACTTCTAGCCACGCTTGTGCTGTTTTCATAGAGGTGCAGGACTTTATACTGCAATAAAAAAAAATGAGCTCACAGTCAGTAAACGCCCAGAAACTGCTTCACTGTTCAGACTGTTTAAACACCAACCACCACAGTGAGCGTCTGAGCTCGTGAGCCACAAAATAAACAAGCCACAGCTTTTGGTTTAAGGTAATGATATGACAGCGTGTAGCCGAGCGATGTGAGCAGGAGGTTTCACAAACTTTACAGATAAACTGCACCTTTAAACTGCAGCTCATTACAGTTAAAGATGAAGAGACCCTCCTGTCGAAACAGATTTACAACAACATCCTCTGTACGGAGCATCACAATCACTCCCTCCTTATTATTCATGATGTGCCTTTTTCTTCATACTCTCCCGCTATTATTGCATGGCCTTGAGCAATAGTCACTTTACATTTCACACGTCATGCGCGAACATGTGACGAACGAAAACCCTTGAATCTTGAAAACATTACAGTAAACCATCAAAGTGTGTTCCAGTTCTCATGATCAATCCATGAGTGTAACTCTCACTTCCCTCTTCTTCATCAGGGAGCACAAATGTGGTTTCTCTACACGGTCTGAGTGACTGCTGACTGCCCCCACCCACCTAAAGAGGAAGTGACACGTGGAGGTGCAGGGCAGGGGACACGATACTTACAAGAATCTCTCCCTGGGTCATTAAAAGGAGGAACAGAAGAAGGAGAGAGAGGAAAAGGGAAATAAAGCACAGACAAGAGTATGAAAATGTGAAGCAACGGAGGGCGGTAATGTCAGGAGAGAAGGGCTGAGACAAACAACAGGAGGGAACAAGAAATAAAACAGAAAAAAAACAGCAGGAGAAAGCAGCTGCTATGATGCCACAGTGGTGTGAAGGCTTTAGCTGAGGTGAATGAACGCAGTGATTTTTAGTTACCTGATTGGGCATCACTCTCTTCTTGGTGATATTAGCAGCAGTCCTTTGCTGGGCACTGCAGGAGAAAGATTCAATAGCATATGAGCAAAGGTTTGTACCATTTTCAAGCAGAACTCAGTTTATTATTTCATGTTGTAGCGCACTGAAGAGTGAATTTAGCTTTTTCCACATAACTAAAAGTAGAATGAATTCTTTTCTTGTGTGCATGATCAGAAAAAACTCAGCTCAAAAGAAGACAAATGTGCCTTTAATCTAATCCTCAGGTGAAGTGATATCACTACTGCTACTATAAATAATCATTATTTTGGTTATCTATTACTCAAGCAATTATTTTTCTAATTAATCCTTTATTCTATAAAATTTCAAAAATGTCCGTCAATGTTTCTTAAGCCCGAGGTCACGTCTTTAAATTATTTATTTTATCTGATGAACACTGGACAACACCAAAAAACACATTAAAAGTTATTCTTACATAAGGCATAGAAAAGCAGCACATTAGAATTAAATTATTATCTCAGTAATTTAGGATTTTCTGCCCATCATTTTCAGTTTTTATATGAGCAAAACAAAGCCGTTTTAATACTAACAGCAACATCAGTTTACTGTATTACTCGAGTTTTTTTCTGTATCCAAAGCTACAGAAACAGAATAGCAGCTACTAGTTACTGATAATAATTAAATTAAAAGTTTGTACGCGTTTGAATATCTTCAGAAAAGTAGCTACTTAAACAACAACAACGAAACTAGCAGTACAGTTATACAGTGTTTTCTCAGTCATTTTGACTTTGCAGACTTAAAAAACAAATGTCTGTGGCAGCAGTTAAAGGTCACATTAGCTTGGAGCACATTTACTCTTACTGGCATAAATGCAGTCACAAAAAAAAGAGCAGTAGAGAAACACTAAAGTTGTGTTTGTGGGATTGTGTGTTGCCATCATGCAGCTTGTCCACCAGAGAGCACTAACATGTTACAACTGTAAATGTCCCACTCAGTAAGAAATCTGTTTAAATGTATGTGTGGTTATTTGCCAAAAATGTTCATGTGTGTTCATATTGAAAATGACATGTTTTCTATAAATCCAGTTCAATGACGTTTAATTTTTTCCTCGTGCTACAGAATATTTTAACTATTTCACATGGAAAATGTAAAGATCTTTCCATTCGATTGATCAGAGACTCCACATTGACTGACTGGGTGTTGATGAGAATAAGATGGAGAAAAGCAGCTACTGTTGGGAAATGGAGAAAAATTTTAAATCTGTTGTAATCCATGAGATACGGAGAAATTCCTTGTTTAATAAGACCAATAAAATGACCTACCGCATCCTAGCTTTTCAGTATGAAACCAAGGATCTTTTGTTTGAACGAAAATTAACAGAATATCAAAAGAGCTGCTGATAAATGTAATTTTTCAGTCATGTCATCGACCTCCAACTCTGCCGATCTTAATAAAACCCTTCATTCGATATGTGCGGTTCGTCTTACTTGGCAAATCCAATAAAATCCTCGTGGTTGGTGTTGATGTAGGAGAGCTCGATGTCGATCAGCAGCAGCACCTGAGAGCCAAAACACAACGCATGTTGTGTATACAGAGAAATGAAGGCGCTCAGGTAACCTGCACGTCTGCTCCTCTGACTGACTCACCTGGTCTTTGGTCTTACTGTCTCTCTCTCTGACGTAGGTGGTGACGATCCTCTCGGTTTCTTCTCTCAGTCGAGGGTACGAGCCCAGCTGCAGTCACACAAACAGAAAACACACACACATGCGCCGCTGCAGATAGATGCTGGATACACACCTACTGTGTGCAGGTTTGCTCTGTAAACACACTCCTCGCAAGCAGCTACACCACTGACAGTAAATGTACACAAATATGAGGCAGGACAGGTAAAGACTGAGGGGGCATGCACTGGTGAGTCTCCTGTCAGCTTGAGATTTCTTGTGAGCTGTAGATGTGATGAGAGCTCTTTTCCACGAAGTGTTCAATCCATCCTGTTCAGGCACCAAATTAAAAATCAGTAACAGCTTAATCCTCTGAACTCCCAACAATTTCTGGGTGTTTTTATGTTGCTTTATGTTATTTATCTGTACATGTAATCTTGTGTCGTGTGTTTTTTTTCTAAATATATATGTGTATTTTTATTTATTTTATTCCTTTTCACTCCTTTACTTATTTTTTCTTTATTATTGTTATACAATTTTACTCAAGTGTAGTCAATACTTCTCATTATCCTTGTTTTTAATTATTTATTTAGACTTTTTCCTTTATTTGACGGGTTGTATGGCTGTCTGGGATGGGGACATTGTTGTTCTGTTTGTTAAAATAAAACAAAAACTCAATTTAAAAAAACAATAAAAATTAAAGAAAAAGGTCTTTTGTAAAGCATGGCAATGTATGGTGCCATAAACCATAACAAAGAAAAAAAACAAACTAATTTTATATTCCATTAATTACAAAAAACAAAACAGTTTTTTTTTGTGTATGTGTGCCCACAGGTGTTGCCAAAACTAGAAAAAGAGGTGGCTGTACATGGGATAAATATTTCTAATTCTTACTTTCAGTTTTCATGTGTTTCCCTACTTGTCTCCATCTACTCTGTATAAACACAGCCGGCAGTTCAGCCGAGAAATCCCAGAATTTCCGTCACTTGACTGTTAGTTGTAGTAAAATTATCAATGGCTTCTCGGTTGTAGTGGGTAGTGAAGAATTTTTTGTATTTTTCTCTACAGAATCTGGCTGTAAACACTTTTTTGGGTCAAATTTTTAAATAACACATGTAAAATACAGTGATATCTTTAAGTTTAGATTTCACTATTTTTCCTGGAGGAACTGCACGTCACACATGATTAGCTAACAGACCATCAGAAAGTTACAAATTCCAAAATCTTTTCTATTTTTGCAGTTTTTGGATCTAACTAATGCTGTAATTTTAGTCCATTTTTAAAATAACATGCTTTTCAAATTCGTGTTTTTGGGGTTCAGAGGTTTAACTAACTCTGACTTTGTGATGTAATCTCAAACTCACAGGGAGTCTCAACAAATCAGGGAGGAAAAAAAATCTGATTAGAAAGAGATGAAGAGTGGATAGCATTAGGAGGAGTCTTTTGGGGTGTATTATGGGTGTCAATAGTGTAGAAAAGGTGTACCACAGGAAAAATACATAAAAACAGCCACCGTTGTGCAGCTAAATTTCTTAGTGTGCGGGTAGTGGGTGGGAGCTCTGATTGGATAATGAGGCAGGGTAAGGACTTGTTAAATCAATGATCCCAGCGCTGATAATGGATTGTGGTTTTCCAGGGTTCCAGCGTCAGAAGGGGGAGGGGATCTTAGATTTGACATCAAGGGTCAGCGGAGGGAGAAGCAGCAGGGTGGTGGGAGCTGAGGGAAGCCTTTAAAGCAGCGATGACAACACTGACAGTGGTGAGTTAGTTTATTGAACTCTTTAAACCT